GAGCGATGGTCCCCCGAGGGTTGGTTCCCTGAGGGGTTTTCCACCACTGTAACCCTCAGACCGCCCGAGCTACTGCCCGAAGTAGCCCTCGCCTGGCTGCCGCTAGGACGAACACTAGATCGCGGCAGAGGCAACGGAGCTCCGCCCCCCTCGAGGTAACGGAGTCTGGCCCGCAGCTCCGAGATGGTCATCTTCCCGCAATGTGAACATGACTCATCCGCAAACGCCACCTCAGCGTGTTTAATGCCCAGACACGTGAGGCAGCGATCGCGACCATCACCCGGCGCCAGGTAACGACCGCATCCAGAAACGCATTGGTGAAACGGCATCTTTAAAAAAACGATCCGTCGTTTTTACAAAGGTCGCACAAAGACGTAAGCTCTTTTAGAGAAATAGGCTCTTTCAGGGAAATGCTCTTTTAGGTGCTGAGACGCACAGGGGAAATGGCCGCTTGCAGCACGACAGGGGGTAGTGCAACCTGAAGTGCGCAAACCACTTGACACAGGAACGACCACCGCTGAAGCGCCGTCCGCCAACACAAAAAGCTCCCTAGAGCGCGTTGAACTCGTCGCCACAAACGAAGATATTGGTAGGAGCAGAACGATGTTATCGCTCGGCTCTGAAGCGAAAATCTGGTATGCGTTGCACTGGCTGCCTTTTATGCTCACACTGTGATCAGTGGCAGCTGGATGCAATCATCGCATGCCAATGTGCATTGGCTCGTTTAGTTTACACTCGAAGTGGATTGGTCTCTCTAAGCGAGATCCCAATTCGTTGGTCACCGACGTGAAGTCGAGAGTGACCGACTGAAAGGGAACTTTGCACAAAATAAATAAATAATACACCAAAATACAAATAATTAATTTGCCCATGATGCATCCAAATTCAAATTCATTCAACTTTATGAAAACAAGTCTTATTAGCAAAAAAAGGTTTTTACATTGGTCTTGTTTTAAGGATGTATTAAGGATGTAATAATTAATTTTATATGATTATTACATAATTATCACTATTATTATCATCATCTTGATAAAACATCTAAGCATCCTTAAAACAAGACGCTTGTAAAAACCTTTTTTATTATAATAAGGCTTGTTATGAAGAGTTGCATTTGGACACATCATCAACAAATTATTTATGGTTTTGTGGAGAGGTTTTGCTTTTCCTTCTTACTTCACTGTGGCCCATTGGCTCAAGTTTCTAAACAAAAAGTAAGCATACTGATATGTAAATGCAGGCTGTCCTGTTTTCTTTCATTCTTTTTTTTATTTTTTTATCTGACGCCAGGAAGTCGCAGATTATTTAAAAGAAAAAGGAAAAAAAAAATCATGATATGACCCCTTCACTGTATATTGAATGTAAGTCCTTGTTGTAACAGTTTTGTAAGTATTCTGTCCACTCTCTGGAACTGAAGACAAGTGAAACATGGTCTTCAAAGTAATCAGTGTTACACTCTTCCTTCGGGATTCAGCAACAATATGCATGACTGTCGGACAAAGCCGAGCATTCGTAGACTGAACAAGGACGGACGTCCCATGACACTAGGGCGATCTAATGGGAACTAGATGAAGTAGAGTGCTTTGGGACGAAATACAAAGGAGGAAGAGGACAGGCAGGGCTCATGGTCATACATGCAAGACCGGGGAGGCAGGAAGAAAGACGATGAAACGCTCAGCAACTTACATATCCATCATCATAAGGACTCATAGAGTAGTATCCCTTCATGAGCAGATGATCAGACACACACAAACACACAGGAAGATATGATTGAGGGCACACTAGCTGCAAAAGCATGTAGATATCCAAACATTTTAGGCAATGTCTGATGCGAATCTTTGTAGGACTTAGATGTGAAAAATGTTGGCTTTTGTAGGAAAATATCATACAAATCAAAACGTTTTGGTTGGTTTAAGCGACTAAATGACGATAGAAACTGAAAACAAAACATCAAATACATATCATAAAAGGAATAGATTTAAAAAAAAAAAGTTCCAGTTCTAGTGTCTCTCCAAAAGTTCAGTCACATTTTGTCATATGTTTCTGCACAAAAAGGGTTCATTGTTTAACAGTGTGTGGATTCCAATTGAAATGACTGGATTATTTCACACAAAAAAATCAGTGAACAATGGTAAATGTGACCGCCATTCACGTTTTTATGTTTAAAAATGTGAGAAACACACACACACAAGGTTTAAATACAAATAAAAAACAAATAAGACAAATCATTCTGTACTTAAAATGAAGCTTACTTAGGATTTTTTGCATCATGACATATTTATGACAATTAAGCACACTTCACTCCAAATTATCTTCATTGTCATTATCGTAATGTAATTAAAAGAATTGCAAATTACAGATTCTGATAGTGTTTGCCTCTTTAAATTATGCTGATGTAAATAAATTAATTAATAAATAAAAAGAAAAGAAAATATTTTTAATATCGTTACAGTTATAAATCACCATTGAGAATAATGAGAGTGGATTTTTTTTAATGCAAAAACACGTGGAACAGCAGTCAAACATGTTTTTCTAGCACGTTTACAACAGAAAAGCAGTGCATAAGAACGCAAAAACTTGTTCTTTGTGAATGGCCCCTAAGGCCTTGTCCTGACTGGAAGGACAGTTTAGATTTTTTTTCTTTTGGCATATAACAAAACAATGAGACAGCAGAAAACCAATTCACATTTGCAAGTGCTTTGAAACTGAATTAAAATCTGATCAGATGCGGGTCCCAGTGTAAATGGTCAAATCAGATTTCAGGGTGTTGCGTATATGTAAATTCATACGCAATGCACAGTGGTGCGTGAGTAAAGACTAAGTGAAAATTTGTGAATTTAAACAGAGTTAGAGAAGATTTGTCATGACAGACGTGAACAGATTCAGAAGTTTCTGTGCTTTCAAAAGTGACAGCTGCTTTCAAGTTTGAGTTTCGAGGTCATAACTCTGTGGAAGCCCATTTCCACCATGGAATAAAAAAATTAAAAAAGATCATTGTGACTTTTTTTAATCACAATCTTTTTTTTTTCTTTCTCGCAATTCTGAGGGAAAAAAGTGAGACCTGCAATATACAAATGCAGAACTATGAGACATAAAGTAACAATTCTGAGAAGTCTGAATTGTGTGATATAAACTCACAGCGGCAAGAAAAAAGTCTGAATTGTGAGATAAAGTCGTAATTACCATTTTTATTATTGTATTCTGTGGAGGAATAAAAAAAAGAATTGCAAGAAACAGAATTCTATAAAAAAGTCAGAATTGTGAGATATAAATTGGAATTGCAAGAAAAAAAGTCAGAATTCCAAATGTTTAGATTAAAATTCTGACTTTTTTTCCTTGAAAAATGGTGTGTTTAGACGTCTTTCTGCAGCTGAAACAACATAACTTCTGATATCCATTCATGCTTATTTAGTGCTGTAACTAGTAGTAAAGAGGAAGAAATGATCGGATCACGTGCTGCTTGAACTGAGGCGCTACAGCGATCTGTCACAACACATTAAAAAGCCACAAAACAGTATATGAAGAGTTCATTTGCAAAAACCGATAAACGGCACTTAAAAAAAAATTAGCTGATTGCCATGCATTATTCTCCACATTTAGCGCGATCTGAACCCTAAACACGTTTTGTCAAAAAAGCCGGTTTTGTCCACTTTCAAGGCATCGTGAATTCACGTTTTACTGCAGAAGCCGACAAGCGCCCTTGTTGTTTTTGAACAGAAGCCGATAAATCCATTTTAGCGAATCAGCGCGCTGTATTCAGGTCAGGTGACAAGGCTACTTTCACTTTGAAAAGACGTGCTAGCTGAGAGGAGTTTCGTCAAAGCTGACTAAAAGTGATCGAGGATGGATCATTTCGACGAACTTGATGAACCTGTGATATCGTCTTCAGGGCGAAAAAGGAAAATAAAAGCTGAAAGGTTTTCACGGAAGCTTGCAAAAGCAGCGCGTTACAATGGTGAGGGAAAAGCTCCGTGTTTTCCAATGTTCTTCTACTTCTTTTTCTTTTTTATATATATATATATATATATATATAGTTTATGCACATACAATTTATAGTTTATGTTCCTCAAAATATTTAGAAGACACTTAGAAAAACACACAAAAGAAGATATTTTGAAGAATGTTGGTAACCAAACAGTTACCGGTAGCCACTGACTTCCATAGTATGGAAAAAAATACAATGGAAGTCAATGGGTGCCATCAACTGTTTGGTTACCAACATTCTACAAAATATTTAGAAGACACTTACAGTGTGTTCACACCAGACGCGAATTTAATTATTCGTGCGAGTAGATCACATACAAAGTCAATGCAAAGACGTGAATAGAGGCGAATTCGCGCCAGGCGACGCGGATGACGCGAAATGCGGGGTGAACTATCCCTTTAAATTATCCACTTAAAATCTCATAATCATTGATTAAATTGACATGTTGTCTTACATTTACGTTCATGCATTTGGTTGATGCTTTTGTCCGAAGTTACTTGCATTGCATTGCATAATTAATAATAATAATAATAAACATGACAAAAGCACATAACAAAATTAATTAAATTAAAATAAAATAAAAATTTAATTCTTAACAAATACTGTAGTAGTATATGAAGAGTTCATTTGCAAAAACCGATAAACGGCACTTAAAAAAAAATTAGCTGATTGCCATGCATTATTCTCCACATATAGCGCGATCTGAACCCTAAACATGTTTTGTCAAAAAAGACAGTTTTGTCCACTTTCAAGGCATCACAAGTTCACGTTTTACTGCAGAATCCGACAAGCGGCCTTGTTGTTTTTGAACAGAAGCCGATAAGTCAATTTTAGCGAATCAGCGCGCTGTATTCAGGTCAGGTGGCAAGGCTACTTTGAAAAGACACGCTAGCTGAGAGGAGTTTCGTCAAAGCTGGCTAAAAGTGATCGAGGATGGATAATTTCGACGAACCTGTGATATCTTCTTCAGGGCGAAAAAGGAAAATAAAAGCTGAAAGGTTTTCACGGACGCTTGCAAAAGCAGCGCTTTACACTGGTGAGGGAAAGCTCCGTGTATTGCGTGTAATCACATCCATACAGTTTATGATCACAACAACAACAACAACGTTTGTCAGGTGTCTACGTTGTCATCTGAGGAGATTACAAAGATTAAACGAGTGCTTTTTAAACTCTAAAACATGAAATGTGGAGTTATCTGCTTTTGCTATAAAACAAATTT